GAGAGAGAGAGAGAGAGAGAGAGAGAGCCATGGAGTGAAACATCTTTTAGGTGTGATTATAGAGAGGGCTCTTTCAAGGCTATCAACTGCGAGCTAAGAGATGACCAAACCTTCAGTATTACGGCTTTTGAGTTGCATTTGTTGTGTACGCAATGCAAGTCTGCTCTAAGACTGGCAACACATCAATACAACAAACAGTCCATACAATACACACAAACTGCTCATCTATTCAAGTAAATCAACTTCTGTTACAATGTCTGCAAAGAGACAGATCTCTGCAAACACAGGGCTTTTGCAGCACATCTTAGCTCAAAGAAAGTCAAATCCCAGTCCCTATACCTCTCTATACAACTACCCCTCTATGCGATTGTGTGCACATCTATTGCCTCACCATTTATTTGAACCGGTCTTAAGTCTTATCACTTGTTAAATAACTCTATGACTCAAACTCTTTTGATTACTGGTCTATAAGTTATAACTCTATAACTTCTAACACAATAAACAGGTAATTCATAAATCAATAATAAAATACAATGTATTGTCATCTCATTTCACTTCATTATATCCCAGCAATTGATCCAAACAACTATCTCAACATATTTTTACCTTCATTTCCTTAAACCCTTATTAATTGTGTAGACATATAACTAGGCATTCATTTTATAGCAATTTTTAAAACAAAAAACTAACAAACATTTCAAATCAAACTTAAATTGTATGTTCTGTCAAAGTGCAGGAAGTTTGCCATCAAATCACAACTAATTGATTAATTTTATTTATTTTTAGTATGTTTTGTAATCAAAATATATTATGATTAATTAAGGTAATAAACTATTATATTTTACATAAATATAAAATAATTTATAACTCATAAAAACGATACAATACGATAATAATGTATCACTTGTTGTAGACGTATATTCGCCAACAAATTGTACACAAATTAATTCAATACATAAATATTTTTGATTATATTTGTGTTAAGTAAACGTTGTATTAATTGTTGAAACGAATGTATATTTATATGATTTTCAAGTATTACTAATAATTTTTTGATAATATTTGACATAAATTTAATGCTAAAACGATCAGAGCTTTTGAAAATATAAGTTTCGATGGATTTTCTTATATATTATACGATAAAATGTATTTTAATAATGTTTTAATCAAATCTTATCAATAAATCATAGCTTTTCAATGCATTTAAGTGTTTACGCAATGAGTAGCCCTTCGTTTCGCTAAAACTTCAATCAGTTTTTCCCTTTAATAAATGGTTTTATATATAAAACCCACAAATCATTGTTTAATTTTAAATTAAGTTTAGATCAAATGGGCTTTTGTTTGCTATGTATTGAAATTTACGGACCATTAAGTTGTGGCAAAAATATAATTTAAATAATTATTATTAAATTTCGAAATATAAAATATATTCTGACAAAACTCACTGTAATGTCTAAAATATGTATTAATGTTTGCGTTAATTGTGAAATATTTTATAAATAACATATTTATACTAAACTATAAAATATTAATTCTTGCGATAAAATGGATATACTTTTGGTGATAGTCTTAGAGATGAGACACACTTAGCATTAGATAATATGTGAGTGAGAGTGAGGCCAACAATTGATAGAAACTATTTAGAGCCCAAACAGCAGTGAAGGACAATATTTTATAATAAATTATATCTTTAAATATGAATTATATCATCAAAACATCGCAGAAGTGAAGCAAACGGAGAGGCAATGAGAGGGACAGAGAGGGAGAGAGAGATATAGCAATAATTAACGCTTATTAAGAAATGGCAGTCGAAATCACATATAAGGCAATGAATGTATAGTCAATGATATATTGCATGAATGCATAGATTGAATGGAGAAGTAATGGAAAGAATATGAATAATACATGATATCATGTATTAAATATCGATAGAAATTGATTGCAAAATACCTGTGATTTTTGTTTGCTTCGATTGACTGACTATTTGCTTCTTGTGGCCAACTTTGAGAGTCAGTCCAACAGCTGAAGAGCTGGCCTGGGGTTGAGAATCAGGTGCAAAAGTGGCAGATGTTGGGTCTGAAGCGAGTGCTGAGCTCACAATATGAGCGCCAGTGTCTGATAGTGTTGGAAGTGGTGGTAGTAGTGGTGATAGTAGTGGTGGTTGTGATGGACTACTGGTAGCTGACTGTGACGACTGAGTGGACTCGTGGTCATTGGTTTTGCAGAGTTTTGTACTAAATTCTTGCGATATATTTGTGTCATTCGTGTCCTGTTGTGTATCATCAGAGCTGATGTGAGACCATTCATAGCGAGAATCACTGGAATTAATTGGTTGTTCACTTTGGAAGTCGAAGTTGTATCGGTTTCTGTCCATTTCATGGCATTGTCTCAACTGGTTCTGGAGATCGAGATGTGTTTGTTGGTGATCGACGTCACCGAACGGCAGTCTTCGCCGCACGGATTGCACTCTTTCAAGGGATGGCAGAGGATTGGTGTCTCTCGGAGGCGGACCATTGCCACCGATATCACGACAAGACATTGCGGATACAAAACCATTCGGTGGTATCATTAAGAAACAAGTGGTCATCTTTTCACGGAGTGGTGATCCGAACCCCAGTTCCTATCTTCTAGTGGTCAGAGACTTAAGAGGCAGCACTTGATTAGTGGTTGTGCCGCACATACAGTGGTTAAGGCAACGGTAGGATAGGATTGAATGTATGCGAGATATCGTATACAACCAAACACTCAATGACTTGATATTATAGTGAGCTTTCGCTAAGACTCAAGTCTGGAGTGAATATGAGAAAAGAGAGACACACTCTCGACGTATATATAACTCTGGATTCTGTAGTTCTGTGCACTTCTGTACACAACCCCTCCCAGTGCTCACGAGACTGCAACTGCTCTCTCCTCCAGCAATACACTGTACATACGTTGCGCTCACTTATGCTAGACTTCAACTGCCCTTACTTTCAATCACACACTCCGAGCCCACAATCGGGACAACGCATGCGAACTAAACCAACTGATGAGGAGTTGTATCGGGACGGCTATCGGAGCCACAACAGGGACACCGACTCACCCAATGCTCACTCCAATACACTATTCAGTACACGGCATACACTATACGAATATGCATTTTAAAGAGTGGGAGACCAGAGCCTAGCATAGAATACACTGCGAGTGCAGTATATATTGAGCGCTCCGACGAGGAGAGAGAGGAGAGAGGGGAGAGTACAGCGCACTCGACCCTCAAAACGAGTTTTATTTCACAAACTAAAGTATGGCTCAAACGGGGATAAGGGGTGGAAAGGGATCGGGCGCTGAGACCAGGTGTGCCACTACTGCAGTCCCTCAGCTCTATAAGACTCGCTCGACAGGTAAACGCATAGCACACCGAAAGGTAACGTTTGGATACATCTCTGCACTTGTACTCAATTATACTGCATGTTATATGTGGCGCATAATAATGAGACTATCCTTAGGTCTAACAAACATTATGTTAGACGAGAGAAGGACCACAAAGTTATGTTATATGAGCCCTACTCTACACTACACTATCCCATAGACTGGCCTTTACTTTGTCTCCCACTCGTGCCATACTATTAAAGCTTATTAATAAAGACAATCGTGACTTACCAGTGATCAACTGCTCACGAATTATTTTATATATCAATAATTTATTAATAATATTTCATATGAAATCATATTTACGAGAGAGAGAGAGAGAGAGAGAGAGAGAGTCCGCAATGTCTTGTCGTGATATCGGTGGCAATGGTCCGCCTCCGAGAGACACCAATCCTCTGCCATCCCTTGAGAGAGAGAGAGAGAGAGAGAGAGAGAGAATTGTTAAAACTTATAATTATAGATAATATACAAAATGTCTGTTGGATTGGATTGTATCTCAATGTCACGCATTCTCTTAATTTACTCATTAATACATTAATACCTGAATATCAAGCGTAACGCCAATGACTTCACTTGACTGGCCCTCAGCTCTCGGTCCTCCACAACAGATACACAACACAGCTATTGATGACAACAAATATTATAATAAATTTAAATAAATTGTTGAATTAGCCTTAAATATAATAATTATAGTTAAACACAACAAAATATATACAATTTTGTTAAATAGGAAAACAAATGACTAATAATCAAGTAATTAATGAATCATTTGCTCAATTGAATGCAATTTTGCAAAATATTCAATAGTATTAATAATATTTGTTGAAAGACTTACTCAACAAAACAAAAATGAGTTTTAATTCGTTGAGATTCCAAACATTAATAACAAAAAAATAAATTTAAAACTTTACTTAAACATAGTTTTATGGGAAGAAAAGAGCCAATAAAAGTATTAAAACTAAAAATTTATATTGAATTCAAAATTTGAATTTAATTGACTACATATTGAAACGAAGAGATTGTGAAACAACACAAACTCGTCAAAGAAATGAATGGAAAGTGGAGTCAATGATTAGAATTGCATTAGAATTATAACTGACAAAAAAGTAATGAATAAAAAATTTAAAAATTATTAAACAAATTAGAAGAAAGTGTTTGATATGATAGTAATGCGATTGGATGTGTGGTGTCGGGTGTGATATACAGTTGTTTTGATTAAATTGGATGTCTGTGTGCGAGAGTGCGGAGAGAGAGAGAGAGAGAGAGAGAGAGAGAGAGTTGTGTTGTTGGAGGGACTGGTAGTACTGAACTCATAATCAGGTAATTTGGATGTTTGTGCGGCTGAAAAATAATACAGCATTTGGCACGCGTGCAATTGGTCTGACCTATCGGTGCCCCTAACTATACCCAAACCATACCCTACCTTATCGTCATACATGTGTGACTGTTGATCAATAATCTATCATCTCATGGGATATCGCATGCATTGTTAACTAATGAAACATAAAGAGATATATTGAGTGCTATATTTTTTTAAGCCCTCAATAAAAGTTACGACACATCGGCCGCCGAATCAAGTATTGTTGAAATACTGGTCCAATACATAAATTATTTCTATAATCCCTAACCATATGGTTCATAGACTACTCACACATCTTAATCACTGGTACTATTAGGCATATGCTCTCACTTTACCCGCATTTGTTCTTTCATTCAATACAATACTCAATAA